TTTATCCACATAGAAAGCACAGGAGAAATAAAATGATCAGTGCCCTGATAAGTTAAGGAGGATAAACTCTTGAAGTCTACAAATAATGCAATTCCTTTTGGCTGATTGATTTTGGGTAAGTGCAAAGGACATAAACAACCATTCTTTTAAACTGAAAGGAATGCATCTGGATGATGGATAACTGCAGTTCAAGCAGAAACACTTCTACAAGTTGCTTTGTGGAGGATTGGCTCATTCTGTCCCAAACTCCTGTTTCTTGTCAGTAGAACTGAATGTTAGTTCCTCAGATTGGAAAGAAATCTGTAAAGAAGGAGAAAGTTTTACTTCTACTCTACACATGGTAGTGTGCATGTGAGCTGCTCAAAAAAGCTAAGCTCTGTGCCAGTTAGCTACATTGCTGTTTGGTAGCTTGGAGCAGTACTGAGATTGCAGTAGGTGTGTCACTGCAATACTTATCCATACTATCCAGCTAAAAAAAATCATCATATCTCTCTTGCTCCCTCTCACTGCTCATGTGTGTTTTAGTCTTGGAGAACCATATCACATGCAACCTCATCCTCACCCCACTGCCAGAAAAAAAATTGATTAGCCTTGTCCGCAGGTGGCCCCAAAACCCGTATCTTGCAATTTAACACTTACTAAATATTTGAAGAAACTTACCACGCATTTGAAATCCTTGTCCCTCTTCCTTCCCTTCTTACTTTCTTCTATTGTAATCTTGCATATGTTTTCCTGTTATACAGCAACTACTTTTTTTTTCTCAATGCATGTTTCTGTGTGTACTATTAAAGTACATATCCTGCAACATAATCCTGCAACATAGCATAGGCTTCTCTTTTATGGACGATGGTGAACATTTATAGATGGAAAGATCTTGAAACATTATACTCTCTTTTTTCATCTGCAGTTCAGTTATTTTGCACTTCTGTGTTTTAGTGTGGCAATCCCAAATCCTTCCTGTCCTCTTGGTATACAGCATGAGAAGCTGGGAGAACACTGTAGTCATCTTCCTCACTGATGCTACAGAACAGCCAGTGAGAGCAGAACAGCCCTTACATGAGGAAGTGAGAATTATATGAATACAGAGAGAAAAGGAAGCCTTAGTAAACAAAAAGTCTTGTGTAAGATCGTGTTCAACCAGAAATGATTACAGTTCAGTCTGAAGTAGCTGGAAAAACTGGTGAAGATTGCAAGACCCTTCTATTATATTTTACATAAATTTTTAGTGGTAGATTGTAACTGGAAATACAGGCCTATGCAGAGAAGTTCTAAGTCTAGTCAGGTACACAACGTCTTGGGATGATGCAGGCAAAACCCAACGATATCTGCTGGAGGAAGCGAGTAAAGAGGTTTGGACTGAGAAGAGTTAAGAGCAAATTTCTACTAGCAAGGTAGAAGCAAAATTCTGGGAGCAAAGTTACAGTTTTGTCATGGGTTGCTGTGGAATAGGACAACTTTGCTCACCATTTAATTGAGCTCTGCCCTAATATAGAATCATAGAATAGTTAGGGTTGGAAAGGACCTTAAAATCACCTAGTTCCAATCCCCCTGCCATGGGCAGAGGCACCTCACACTAAACCATCTCACCCAAGGCTCTGTCCAACCTGGCCTTGAACATCCAGGGATGGAGCATTCACAGCTTCCCTGTTCAACCCATTCCAGTGCCTCACCACCCTCACAGTAAAGAATATCTAATTATATCTAATCTAAACTTCCCCTGTTTAAGTTTTAACCCATTACCCCTTGTCCTGTCACTACAGTCCCTAATGAAGAGTCCCTGCCCAGCATCCTTATTGGCCCCCTTCAGATACTGGAAGGCTGCTATGAGGTCTCCACGCAGCCTTCTCTTCTCCAGGCTGAACAGCCCCAACTTTCTCAGTCTGTCTTCATACAGGAGGTGCTCCAGCCCCTTGATCATCCTCGTGGCCCTATATAAACACAGGCTCTTGCCCTTGTATGACACCTACTTATTCATTTGTTTGCTAAATATGGCTACATCTGCCTTGAAAAGACACAACAGTATAAACCTATGTATATAGTGCTGGAATATAGATCTTGGGTGTCCCACTGTGCCCCCCATGAAATTCTTAAAATACCTTTGTTTATGCCCTCACTTTTCCACTACAGCTACAGCCTCAAATGGTAATGCATTGTAAGAAGTGAAACCTAAGAAACTGAAGTAGATGTTCTGGAATTTCCCCACTATCACATACCAAGTATTTTATTTTTTTTTTTCTTCTTTAAATTAATTGAGATGAAAATCCAAGAGGATACCTCTGAGCATTTAAAGGATCTGTTCTTCATTTTTATTATTCCAATATTAACATTTCTTAGCCTAGATTTCAGAGAATGTTCTGCTTTTCTCAAGTGTCCATACTTGATTCAAAGATACTTCCTTAAAGAAAATGTCCCTGATTGAAGCCAGCTGCCTCTGGATCAGGCTCCTACTGTTTCTTTCAGAATAAAAAAAAAAAATCTGATTCTCAAATAGAATTTTGGGGTGGTTGTATAGTTCTATCCTAGCGAGGCATGTTGCCATTGCCTAAGGCTGCTGACCAAAGTGAAAAATCATTCGTAAGGGCAGCAAAGGACAGCACACCTTTTTTTTTTATTTCCTCAGTGATATTTCCTCCCTCTTGCTTTTCCCTTGTGAAATAAATAGGAATATGGAATATTACTGCCAGAAGAGTGGGTAGATTTGTGTTAATGTTTAAGAGCAAATGTCAAACTATAGAAACGTTGCAGTTTTGTATGCTTTCGAAGTATATAACCAGATTATTATTTTGCTGTATCTTTTCTTTGAAAACTCTCCCAGTAATTGTCTATGCAATCTTGTACTGGGCACAAACACTGTGCTACATTGTAATTGCTTCTTTTAAATTTTGCATCAGAGCTTTGTAACATTAGGCAGGGAAAGGCAAACGAAAGTTTGGGTGGATAATTTCTCTCTCCCTGAAAAGAATGTCTTTCAGAAGAAGTCATTCCAAATGAATGTTCAGAGCTGTGAGTCACAGCATTAGTGGGTTGAACCATTATTCTATGCAAGTATATGGGCATATATTTTCAGGATTAGTAAAATGGAGAAATATTATTTGTAATAAAAATATATTTTAGGATAATGGCAGGGTTATAATCTCTGCAATTCTAAAGAAAGATTATGACTTGACTGGAAGAGGGATTGACACATGAATAAATCTGTTCTTTTTTAAGAATTTAAAAAAAATCACTTAAGATATTTGTTTGAACTGCAAAATACATGGAAGGGCAGACTTTCTAGAATAGAGCACAAGACGTCCATATTAAAGATCTCTACCATGGATAACCTCTGATAAGTGGTGCTTCTGGTGCCTTCTACAGTCCTTTCATTTTGTGTGTTGACATTTTCATATTGATTTCTCTTTCCCTCCTGCATCTGTCCCTTGTTTTCTAGCTCTACCTGTGTCTCTGTAATGTATTTTTTTTCAACTCATGCCTCTGTCCTGTTTTTACTTTCACATTTTATTCTTTTTTTCAGTCCAAAGCAAATTTCTACTCCCCCTTCACCCTCCTCATACACCTGTTCATTCACTTTCTGACTTATGGTTTGAGATATACCACAACCAAAGGCTGTTCCTTCTGAAAAAGAAGTGGAACTGGGTGTTAGTTAAAGCCAGTTATGCTGGTACTCAACATTAACATTTAAACACATTTTGCCTGTTTATAGAGCATTCACCTACTATGTCTAAGTATTTTTGAAAAATTGTTCTAGTGAAACATTTTAATGCTAAGTGCTTTTTGGCCTTTAAGATTGCTCTGGTAGATTAACTTGGGCAATACATTCATTTTAACAAAAAAGATTTTTTTTTTCATCAAAAGTATCTTTCAAGGGTAACTTCACTTGAGCTCTCTAAGGAAAACGTATTCCCAAAGAGTTATATTTTATCAGATGAAATACTTCATCCTAGTTTGCTGCAGCTGGTATCAGAAAAACACCTGTAGCCTGAACATTAATCTCTACTCAGTAGTGAAGGGTAATGGACCTATAGATCTGCTATTGAATTATAGAGACTACTGGTAGATCTTTTTGTTCAGTTCCTGAAGCAATGTGCATGGAAATTAGCAGATAGGCTTCTTTTACATTCATCATACATTTCTGTGAAAGGCTTAGGGCATGCTTTTATTGTGGGATCTTGTTGATAGCTATGCAAAGCCTTTGCAGAGTCAGTTTAAAATGGCAGTAAATTTGAATGTTAGATTTTGCCATCTTTCCATTGGCACTCGTGCAGTATGGGTGTCCAAGAGTGTACGTTCTACTTTTGTTTTGGGAGGATGTTCTTTTAATAGTATTTAAAATAATATAACAATATAAAAAAAATCAAAACTTTTCTTGAAATGCAAATGATGAGGAAAACCAAACTTTCTAGAATAAAGCATCAGCCACCCATATTCGAGATCTCTACACACATGCCTCAGTAGGAATGTGAATAGAAGCAGGAAGGCTCAGGAATCCAGGGGATAGGACTTCCTTGGAGCATTTATCCCCTGGGAACTACATGTTCAGAATGGGTTGCATCTTTCCCTGTAAGAAGTGTGGGTAAACCGGTGTTGTCTTATTTTTACTTTCTCTTTGGTAGCTACTGCTTTCTGAATATGCGGTCAGGCTGCAGCCACTGGGCTGCTTCAGCCTCCAACCTTCTGGTTTCCCAAATACAGAATTTACATGCTGATTAATAATGAACTTAGTTTTATTCTGGAATTTATAAAGGTTTATTTAGATAAACCTATCGTGTATCTACTAAGGTAGGGCAGAGTTTGTTCTCTCTCCCCATACCCTCAATCAGGAGGGTGCCACTGCACTGCCCAGCTTCTCTAGACCTTCTGTTTCTCTGAACTTTCAACATCTCTTTACCAAACACATTAAAATAAACTACGTTTTTGTTTTCAGCATTAGATTCCTGAGCATTTTGACGGTGCCAGTTATAACACATCTATCACCGAGGGTTTATAAGAAGAAAGGATACTTATGGTCAAAGCTATACCATATTCTGAACAGCCATGCACTCTCGGCTTTGGTTGTATTTTTATCCGGGTTAGATGCACTCTGCAAAATAAATGAATGAAGTGAAAAGTATTTTTATAGCATACATAAAACATGGACTTCCAATATTAAGAAAACCCATGTCAAACCAAATTACAATTAAACTGCACTTTTTTTTTTCTCCCCAAATTCAGAAAGCTTCTTTGGCACACAAATGTCATCTCTGAATCACTTCAAGAACAAATTGGCTCATATAGCATTGCTATATACTCATTGTAAGAGTGCAGCATTTACTTTTATTGATGATATCAATTTTATTAAGCAGCTGAGAAGCAATGTATTCTGAGATCAATAAAAGGATATTTCGATTTAATTGCCATTGTAGGATTACTTCAGTTTACTCCTACAAGATCAGACGCTATTTGTGTATGTCTAACAAAATGTCATTCCCCAAAGGATCATGATATCCTAATGACACAACTTTCCTTTCTGTACTTCTTTCCAATGCAGGAGGACCATAACTTGAGTCAACAAGGTTGAAAACACTGCTTTCCATTCTGCAAGCTAATTCTGGGGTGTGTTGCACAGGTAGATAGATGGATCTGTCCTTTTACTCAGGATCGTTATTCAGAATGATACATTAGAAACAGCTGTACAAAGACAGCTAATTGTGTTATTCTCTGGGCATGGCATTAGCACTAGCAGAAGAATTAGTGGCAGAATGGAACTAGGAATGGGCTTGCCAGTTCTCTAAGGATATTTCATTATCATCTTGCTTGTGTTTTGCTGCAAGTTAGATTTTTTCTTTTAATGGGAGTATTTTTCTTTATGCAACTTAATTTATCTATTTTTTATGCTTTAGAAATATATTAAACATTTCCTGTTATATATTAGGATTCATGTAAATTGGCTGATGATAATAATGTCAATGGTCTGATCCTCAAAACAGTAAGGTTCCAAGCCAACCTGTGCATAGGAACTGTTACATTGATTTCACTGAATTTTGACTAAGGTTATATAGAGACAGAAACCTTATTGTAGCAGTTACGATTTTGTTAATATCAGACTGCTCACAGTGAACTTACAAATGTACCAAATAGGCCAAAAGTTATTTTTGGGTTTCATTTCCGTGTTACTGAATTGATTATTTTCACAACTTCCCGTAGCAACTGGGGAGGCTGGAGGAGAGAAGAAGATGGTACTAACCCCTAACAGAGCAGTACACTCTTCCAAGACCTTCATATCTGATAGTGCATTTTGGCAGGATAGATACAGATGGGGAAAGGGGTTGAAACATTTAAGCAGGATGTTTAATGACAGGGAAGGTCTATGTTAGGTCAGAACAACAAGAACACTGAAAGAAAGAAAGTGAAGGATGAGGGTGGACAGGGATAAAGATGAGAAAGAGGACAGGTATGGAAACACATGTATCGTGGAGTGGGCTGCAGCAAGCAGCCAGTAAGTGCAACACAGAGGAAAGCTGTAAATGGCCCAGGTATCCTTGGTTTGACTACTAATATTTCTGGAAGCCATAGTGTTTTTGGTCCTCTTTCCAAACTCATTGTATATCTAGCTTCCTCTTGTGGGAAAAAGATTCCACATGTTGGAACACGAATTGTTCCTGTATAAAAGCAGTGGACAAGAAGTCTGCGTGACAGTATAATTCTCTAAGAATTTCCTGGTCCTGACCTGAAACTGCTTGTATTTCTTGCACTAATGTTTATTGTTTCTTTGTTCCACACCTGCTCTGTTGGCCTGTATTCTCTGGCTTATGTAAGCTCTATGAGTCTCACATGTGTTGCACCTTCCTCCTTTTGTATATGAAATCTGTGTTGTGTTTACAGCTTTTCTGTTTGTTGAGAATGTGGGTAGTTATTTGTAGTGAAGATCCTGCTTAAAAAGTACAGACAAGGGATGGCAGGAGATGTTGGTATGAGTGCTTTTTGCACTGTTATAGATCTTTGGATCCTGTGATCTCAGAAAGTAACATTTCACTTTCCCTGCAGTTCAGAGAGGTAGAAATAGGGGAGACAGTTCACCACCTCTTCTGGACAACGCCTTTTCTCTGGGAAGTGAGAATGCCAACGTTTCTCATCTCTTACTTTGGAGTTGCACTTAGATTATTCACTTGCAATAAAATCACCAACCAGCTGGCCAATGAAACTGCTGGGGAAAGTATAAATACTTGGTATACTAATAAATATATCGGGTGCTTATTTTTAAAGGTATCAGGTAATTTATTTTAAAAATAAACTATTAATTTGAGAGAGATAATATTGACATATGTTTTGCAGGGTATTTCATTTTCTCCTGAGATCAATACTGCATCTACAACATTTTCCCAGAATTCTTGTAGAAAATATATTCTTACACTGTCTTGGCAGAGATTAACATAGTAAAATTTGAGATACAGAAACCATCTGAATAAAATGGTATTAAGTGTTTGATTTTCTTTCAAATGGGGAATGAGTTAAAAAGCCGACTGCCATAAAAGATTTTGCCTTTTAATAGAGCAACTTTGTAACTCTGCTTAGTGATTATGTATTCTGCATTCTGCTTATCAGTGTTAGATTTAGGTGTTCATACTATGAATGGTATGCAGCAAGCTACTTTTGCTTTTATATATTATTTTCTATAAAATAATATACATTACCTGTAGTGTTATGTAATTAATTTCTTTCAGAAATGAGTTATGATGGTGCATCAATAAATAAATGGGTATGAATATGAGGCTATTATTTCTTATGTTTATGCTTATATTGTGATAATGATTTAATGATAAACACCTTTAAGGAAAGGCAAGGCAGAACTGACACAAAGAACCTGAGAGATGCTTTTGATGGATGAGGTCACAGTATGGTGAAGACCAGATGCTAATTATATATTAAAAGGCTTTATACCTTTGCTAGAGATGGAGCCCTGGATTCCAAGTCTTACAGCTTGAACTGGAATTTGCTGCTAGTGGACTGCTAACATTACTAGTTGAGCCAGCCCAGAATAGAGCATAATCAGAAGTCCATAAACAACTGTGTACATGGGAGTCTTGACTAAACACATCAAATTCCTTCTGGGAAGGAAAAACTGAATTTGTGGAAGGGAAGGAAAGAAGGGATATCAAGTTCAATTAGGAAAGCAAAAGTGTTATGCAGCTATGTAGCTGCTATGGTGTCTGACATAGTACTCACAGGGTTGAAGGTGTTTAAGCTTTTTTCTGCCCCTGAAAAATCCAGGTCTGGTTATAGATACAGACTGAGAGCTTCTTACAGCAAGATACCCTGTGTACTGGTATTTAGAGTGGTCAGAGAGAAGGTTAGGTTCAAGTCTCCACAGTAGACCTTGTGGCTTCACCGTTCTGCCTGAGTAGTTGTTTCAGTAGTCTGGCTGAGAAGAGAGAAGCCTACAGGCTCGTTTTCCACTAAGTTTGCTGTCTTTTAAACATCTTATTCATGAGAAGATATTCAGTTCTTATTTGTGGTACAATCCCCCTGAAGCATATGTTTTCAAGTTCATCTGGGTGAGAGCTTTAACTGGAACTTGATAGGTTACTTGTCCAGTGATATATGCAACAAAGCCAACTCCTTTCACTGTGAAGACACACTAACATAGAAAATGAAAATTAGATAAACTAAATAAAAATACTATATTAGAAGTAAAGGGAAAGAAGAAAGACAAGAAAGGGGAAGAAGAGCTGTGAGACGGAGATGAGATGAAAGAGAATATTAAAAGAAATAACCTGACATAAATTGAATAACTGACATAAATAACACAGATAAGTACTGCATTAAAGAGGGCTGCAGAGAATGCAGCAAAGGTCTGAATTAGTAAAAGGCTGAGATTTCAAATATAAAAATGTCAGAAAAAGGAAAGTAGAGTACCACAAGAAGGAAAAAAGAATAATCAGAGAAGCAACACTATCTTCTAAGTTAAAATTTGCTACTGTAAGGAATGCTGACTTGAACATGATAGGGCATGAAAAGTGTTACATTTATTTACACCTTTTGTGTTGTATTGCTGGGTTTTGTCAACAGAGAGAGGTGTCAATTCACAGGGCACAGTTGGGAAACTGAAAGTGTTATTGTTATTCATAAACATGATTATTTCCATTTTTAACAATAGAAAGAGAAAAATAGATGCCTATTGACTTCTGAAGAAATCAGGTTTTCACAAAGCATGCATTCAGTCAATTTTATACTCCATTCCATTCTCTGATATTTGATAGTTCTTGATTGCTGCAAAGTAGAAAATTTCTGACATGATGTTATCTTTAAAAACCAGTCAAGAATAAATTAAGGTTCTACATTCTGGCCTTGGTCAGAATTTGGGTAGAGGCATTGCAGGAATTTGCACCAAGGTGCTTAGGAGAGTGATATTAGCGATTAGTCCCCATAAACTCAGAACAAATCAGTATCTTGACATGGTGCAATGGAGTTATACTAGCCCTTCTAATAGTGACTGAGTTGTAAAATTAAGAATATGGTCAGATGTGTTGTTGGGGTCTTTTTGTTATTTTTCATTTCTTTTCCCCAAAGAAACAGCAGGACATTAGGCACCTGAATTCCATCCAGTTTCCATCAATGACCTAAATGAGACCCTAAATGCCTTCAGATAGGTGCAAAGGTGTAAATGTTAAGACTGCTCAGTATGTAAGATTTATTAAAATTCTGCCTAATTATATCTTTAATGCATTTTCAAGTGAATAGAGTATCTTATTCGTGTCTTACAAATGTAAATACCAATTTAAGGCATCACTGAGTAATTTAAATTTCAGTTCTAGTTATGCAGTCTGAAAGAGTGCATGGGGAAACAGGAACACAGTATTAGGTACTTTTTTGCTTTGCCAACTTGTCAGCTGTAGCATTGTTTCTCCCTAGTTGTACTGCTCTTCCACTTACTGTGGCGGAAGCACATGTCATGTCTCCGAGTATTGACTTACTATAGATTTCTACTGTTGTTGCAGGCAGTGCTGCATTTGAAATAATGCTCTAATGTATGACAAAAAAGGGAAGGTGACAGTTGAACAGCTGCACCTTGTTAAATAGCCTGCTTCAGTTTACAGTTTTCAAGTTCACAATGCACTTAGGTTTCCATGTGAAAAATATTTCCAGAAACCTGATCTCCTAGAACTGAGCATTGCACCTTCTCCTGTTTTATTGTAGCGAATGAAATATTGTTCTGGCTAATTTCTATAGATGCAGCATTCGGAAGGTGATAAATATATGGATGTATCAAGGCAGTACTTCTGTTATTTTGTTTATTTGACTTCTCAGGGTATCTTCATGTTTATTTACAGTTTTCTTAAAACTCTAATAGCTTTAGTTAAAAATTTTCATCATTGCATCCACATTCAAAAAACAAATACATCCTCTGTATTTTATAAGATAAAGCTCCTTTTTATTTTCAACCTGCCTGTTTTAAACATTTTCAGCAATAACACTGTTTCTGACAAACATGATCTACCAACAATTGAACAGATTTTTAATAGAGTATGTATATCTACAATCTTGACATACCTGACTTGCAGCTTCTGCTTTCAGATCTTCATCTGGATCTACGCCAACTCTGTTAAAAAAAATCCAAAACAAAGACGTATGGTAAAGATATGATGTATATTAGAGAACTTTGAGGGTAGAAATGTTTCTCTTGTGCCACTCATTTCCTGCTAAGTGAGAGATGTGAAGAAGAGCTGACAAAACATTAAGATCAGTTTTTTTAATCAAGGAATTTCTTAAGTTTTTGGGAAAATTGAGAGTCTCTTTAACAGCTGATCATAACTCCTGAGATTAGATCTTTACCCTGGCTCTGATCCATACCTGTGGTGAGAAAATGAAGTCATTAACCTGTGCTATGAAATCCTTAATTACTGGCAGAAGAGGGGTGTTGAGAAAGAACTGGAGTTGGGTATGAGGACAAGAGTACCGGACTCTGGCATTTCTTACTGTACTGCATTGTAGCTAGCTTGTGGCTTTTGGAAAGGGCTTTACTTGGCACAGAAAGTATGGGAAAACAAACCCAGAGAGGAGAGGAAATTGCAGTGGGTGATGTGCAAGATGGTGAGAACCTGGGTGGCATTTTACTCATACGGACAGGGAAAAAATAACATTGGCTGTTAAAAGTGATGTGATGGAAGAACTGACATATCTTGAATACTGCTGATACTCAGAACTGAGGGGTGCAACTGAGAAATGTTGAGTTGAATGACAGAGGCTTGTGCTGATGTTCATACCACTAACAGAAAGAGAGCAATGAGGGTGAGGAATAATGAAACTTCTTATCACTGGAATCTGAAGCCCACAGCTAGCTAGCTAGCCCACCAATAGCCCCTGAAAGCCTCCCACATAGTATCAGGTCCACCAAGCTAATGGAAAGTTTACTGATGTGAATAAAAGGTACTCTTTCACTAGATTCTAGATACTCATTTAAGTCACTTAGATCACTTTACTGTTTTTCTGACAGTCTTCCTTCTTGAGTATGTTTTTGATTTTGGTAATAACACATCAAAATACATTTTAAAATATTATTAAATATTAACAGTTACATACTTCAGCCTTATTTCCTGTAAATATTATGCACTCTTATTCAGTCCGAGACAATAACAGGACCTATATGCAAAGTAAATGCTTTTTATATGTAAATATTGCATGAAAGAGAAAAGACATTTGTTTCTATCATAGCTCTTGAGCGTTCACAAACCTGAGTTCTTCAGGCATAAATATTTAAATCTTTTTACAAAAAATAGTCCTTTTCTTTGTCCTTTTTTTTTTTTTAAATTGCTTGAAAATACTTCTGATGGCACTAACCTATTCATTAGTTTGGAGTAAAGCAAGTTAGGTATTTCCTTTTTAATGAAATTGAAGTATTTACACGGGAAAAAAAAAAACATTACACAGAGGTTTAGCCATCTGTCTGACAGTGGGTTTGTTGTTATCATATACAGAGCAGTCTAGTACCTTCTCTTTCCTCAGTATTGTAAAACTAAGCAGTGTGAGACAGACACTGTTGTAGAACTAACAGTGTGCAGATGGCAGAGTGTACAGAGTAAATACAGCAGATTATGAAGCTTGAAGCAATGGCACAAATGTAGGTGTAACGGTCCCAAATTTATAAAACAGGTCACAGTCAGAGAATCCCAGTCTCCTAAATGCAATTACATACCCTGTTTATTAGACTATGTTTATTTGCTAGATGTGTTCACCAGGAACACTACTTGACCAATACAGAAAAACACCAGCAGTACAATAGTCAAGGGTCTGCACGGTTCTGAAGAGTAAAAAAATTCAAAGCATTTATGCATGACAGGTGGCAGCTGAAAGGCAGGGCTACAGCACAAACTTCTCTCTCACTCTCCTGTCCTTAATGAGCTTAACTTGACCTCAAAGAATCGGTCTCCTGAGACAGAAGTAATTCAGCCTTCAAGCAGTTCTGGACCTACTGGAGTAGAGAAACTGCCACTTCCGATTGATTGTGTGTGTTGGAGTTGTGATGTGTTTATTACAGAATGAGCTAAGACAACAGAAAACATTTCAGCTGGGACTAAAAGGACTGTAATAGTAAATGTAAAAATGGGTAGGCAATGGAGCCAGTAGGAGCCAGAGTTTCTGACTATGATACTGTTTCAGTAACTGTCATGTAACTACTAAGCAATCACATTCACAACAGCAAACCACTGGCACAGGAAAAAATCTGGATTTATAGAGTTTCACAGGATTTGAGGTACGCTTGAGTTTCTTTGCATGTATAATTTCTAATCCTTATAGCTGCAGAGACAGCTAGTTGTTCTACCTTGTTTATTCTGCAGACAATATATTATAATTAATATGGCACATACGAAGATAGTCACATGAAATCTTAACATGAGTATTGCATTTAAAGCCAGACAATCCCTACCCCTCACCCCAGCAATAAATCACACTTAAATTCAGTGGAATCACACTTCTGTCCTAGATTTTTCACATATGAAAAAGAAAAGAAAGCATGATACATGAAAGACACATGAATGACACGGATCCACAGATGATGCTTTCCTTTGGTCTGGTCTCTGCTCTTGTTTGACACAGGTGCAGATGCCCTTGCTGTTTATCTCATGGAATAATATCTTGCTACTGCAAATTATAGAATCATAGAATAGTTTGGGTTGGAAGGACCTTCAAAGGTCTAGTCCAACTCCCCTGCAATGAGTAGGGACATCTTCAACTAGATTAGGTTGCACAGAGCCACATCCAGCCTGACCTTGAATGTTTCCAGGAATGGCGCATCCACTGGATGGGCAACCTGTGCCAGGATTTTACCACCCTCATTGTAAAATACTTCTTCCATGCTTCTAGCCTGAATCTCCTCTCTCTAGTTGAAAACCATCATCCCTCTCCTATTGCAACAGGCCCTGCTAAAATTTCTCCCTGTCTTTCTTATAGGACCCTTTTACGTGCTGAAAGGCTGCAATAAGTTCTCTCTGGTGTCTTCTCTTCTCTGGGCTGAACAATCCTAACTCTTTCAGTGTTTCCTCACAAGAGAAGTGTTCTAGCCTTCTGATCACTTTTGTGGTCGTTCTCTGGACCATTTGCAACAGGTCCATATCTTTCTGTATTGAGGACTCCAGAGGTGGACACAGTACTTCACGTGGGGTCTTACCAGAGCAGAGTAGAGGGGCAGATGTGGCTAGCAAAATCTTATGTATTGATTTAAAGCCCCTTGGGAAAAGGACCAATCATTCTTTGTGTTCTATAGGAGAGTTTTTCAATGCATTAAAATAGCAATACATTTTTGCAGTAACTTGACCATTAACAACTTTATTAAGTATGCACTAAGCAGACTGAGTTCAGTCAGTTCTGAATTTGAAGCTAATTATTTCATATTCAAATATAGGCTTGGGAGCTTAACAGTGACCATTGAAAATCATGGTCTGCTATAATTAACACTGATACACTTGCTATGAACTAGAATGCTGTTTTTAAACTGCAAATGTTGAAAAACACAAGTATAACAAATTACATGAGACAGTCAAGACAACTGAAATTAAGCACAGACATGCACTTCAAGTCCTTCCTCAAAAGACCTGCTATAGGTCTAATGGTATTGCACTAGAATTCCAAACTTAAAATTTGTATAAATTACTACAAAAGCCTCTAAGAAATACTCTGTTGTTAATACTTGTATCTCTTTCCCTATTAAATTTTTTTGGTTTCCCTTTTCTGTGAGAAGTTTTCGTAGTACTTTTTGTTCTCCTTTCTTGCTGTCAACTTTGTTTCTTTTCTTCTGTTATCTTGTTGTACTTCTTGCAGTCTCCATTTTCCATTCCTCTGTCCCACTTTCCTGGTTGCTCTCTATTCCTAATTCATTTCTTCTTGGCATTCTTCTAAATATTGTATGTTTTTATCTCTGCCTTTCTATTTTTGAATCTTTTTATTCTATACATTAAACATTTAGGATGACTTCTATAAAAACAAATGGAACAAGTACAATGACTTTTTAATTAGATCTATATCGCAGTGGAATATATCTGCTCTTACAGGCTTTAGTAAGACCTTTAGAGTCAAATATCCTAGATACGAAAGAATTCAAATTCTTAAGAATTCCATTATGGTGGGGGTTTTGTTTTGTTTTTTTTTTTTTGGTGTCTTTTTCTTGGCGAGGAGGGAAGGAATAGGAGTTGTGTTTTTTTTTGTTTTTAAATAATGGCTGGATAAAAACCTGAATTCAGAGATTAAGATTTCTATATTTGAAATCTGGAAGTAAAGCTTCTGACTTCAGGCAGTCTTGTGGAATTATGCCTAAGCATTGCTAGGAACTGTGCATTAGTTTGCAGAAGTACCCTTTACAGTTGATGGTATTTAAATCCCCGTGTACTATCAAGTGTATAATTTTTTTTTTAGCAACAGACAGAATGCAATTTGTAAAAGAGGAGGAATTTGTCACTGAATACAAAGCAGTTGATAACAACTTTTCTTATGTGGTTGAAATGAAAATGGATGGAAAGATAAATCCCAGATTGTGAAGCGAACAAGCAGCAAAAAATACAATAATGATCCACAGGGACAGAGAGTAGTAAATCACTGTTCAGGCACTGCAAACTTTTAATTCTCTCGCTTCAAACCACCACAAAGTCAACACTATAGGGTAAAATCTCTGCTTTCTACAGTGGAAACCACAGGAAAATGAATATACTCATGACTTCAAGAGGATCTAGGCATGCAGAGCAGAACTTTTGGTGTCTATACTTACAAGTGTGATTCTCAGCCCTCCCTCACTTTAGCTGCCAAGAAATCTGTAAATAGACACATTTCTCTGAAATCTGAATTCTAATTAGTGAAATTCTACTTCTGGGCTTGTACAGGCTTTGTGTATTTGCAGAACAGTTGATTCATGCAAGTTGAATCTTACTTGCAGTCCCACCTAGTCTAGTTTGCACCTACCATATACCCACACTGGTTAGCAATATTCCAGATGAGGCAGCCAGGACTGCTTTTAACTGAAAAATATGTCCTGAGAGCATGCAGTTGATTCCATTCCTTCTTTATTTAACGAAAGATCAATTTGAGTGTCCTGTGAAGAACTGGGAAGCTTAG